CATTAAATAAACTCACTGAAAATTCCAGCACGTATTTATATAAGCCTCCTACCAAGAAGTTGAAGAATAATAATTCTAAATAATAATAATTCTAAAAGAATACACCCTTCCTGATATTAAGGCTTTTGACCAGAAACAAACTTTGTATGTATGATTATCTTTGGATTTTGCATATTCTTAAAAAATTGCCACTTTCTTTTTACTTCCTTGCCAAAATTCCAAATATGATGGAACTAATAATTTAATCATGTATAATCGCTTGAATAATTGAACGCTGTTGGCAAGACACAATTCTGAAACTGGAATTGTGCCTGCAAAAGTCTCTTTCCGTAATCAAAATAAATTGCCGGGAATTACTTTACGTGTGGAGAAATGGTTGAAATTAAACGATCACTATTTTCTTGTATTTATTTGAGCCCACTGTGCACTTGCGAGCGTTGAAATGGAACAAATGAACTAACTTGAGAATTGCCAACTGCACACACACACGAACATCGCTCTGTGTGTTTGTGAATGTCTGCGTGTTTGTCGTTGTGTAACCAAAACAAATGATTTTACAAGAAAAGTTAAACTTGTAAATTCAAATTTCACATTTGTCTGGAATTCGCAATTACACTTTGGCAACAACAATGAAATATGCCAACATGTTCCACCTGCCATGGTTCTAGGACCACCTCTTCACGCCGCTACCCCTACTTCCTACTTCATGGCTCATTGTTTGGCACAGCAAATGGAGCATGCCAGAGACAGCCTCCACCTCCTCCTCCTCCTCCTTTAACGCAGAGCAGTAGCAATTTTGAACTGCTTGTGGCATTGTTGCCGAATATTCGAGCTAGCTTCCGCCTCCTAAAGTATGCATACATACTACATACATACATATTGTAATAATCCAAATGAAATTAAATGTACCGTAAACATTTCAAATTGCGGCGATGGCATGCGCATGTGCCCGATGTTGAAACAGGTGCAACATCCACAACAGACACAATAAAAATTGCCGTAACTGGCTAGGTCCAGGCTAGTCTACACCAAGTGCAGGGAATTAACTCTGACTCCAAATGGCAAAAGGCTGACTAGGATTGGATTTTGGAAACTGGGCAAGTGAACTAGAAGCAGCTCTCATAGGTCGACATGGGCACAAATTTGATTTTAATCTCTTAAGTCAAGCGAAAGTTGTAAAGTAAAATTTGAAACAAATTTAAATTGATTGGTTGTGGTATTGTTTTCCCCTTTTTGTATTGCCACAACAAACAAATTTAGGGCTCAATTGTTTTTTATGTTTTAGTTTGCAACAGTCTGGAAAAACATATGGTATAGATATCTTTATTCATGTCAGAGCACTCCCTGCAATATGATTTAAAAATTGCATTTACTACATATAAAAACTATCTCATTTCTAAGGATGTGGAAACCAAAGTAAATATTCAGAAAGCTTTCGCAATATCTGATGATTATAAGAACATGGAGGAATATGGCTTTGTTGTGGCAGTGTTTTTATGTTTTTTACAATAAACACTATCACACATAAAGTTGGAGCATAAAAATGGATGTGCACGCAGCCTAATCTGCTAATAGCTGCTTAGACGAGTAAGCAGATTTGACCGGAATGGCAGGAATGGTACGGCAAAAAGCAACACCCAACAAGAATATATATATTTTTTTAATATCTAATTATTGATTTGAAATATTGATTAAGAACATGTTGCCTTTTTTGTGCTATGTGCTATTTTCATGCATCTTCCCTGAAGCTATATCTTGTGGAACCCTCAATTTGGTACTTCATTTGAATCCATTCAGAGTCTGATATCTCTCGAACATTCAATAAATCAAGCTACCAATATTTCAATCCAGCCGCTTGCTGACCGTTCTGGTATCCGAAGTCTACATACCGATGATGGTAAGGCACCATTGAGTGGAAGGAGTGGAAAGATTGGTCGGCTTAAGTAAAAGGCTACGACCAAATTACACATTTTACGGGCACTAAACTGCGGACGCCCGCTGCGAGCCCATGACTAGACGAGCCATTACCACTCCAATGCTGGAGCATTCGCTGACATTCAATGGAATCTGCGCCATGATAATTTATTTCTAAAACAACTCTATCGCGATTGGTCGGGAGGGAGGCTCGTAAAGCGTTCGATTTATGGCCAAAGCCTGTAACAATTTGACAAGCAAATTACTATAATTTCTTTACCAATGATCGAAAACTATGTAGCGAATATGTGCCTCTCAGAGGGCCATTGGTTCGCCAATGTAGCTGAGTATGGGAGTGTGGATTTCTGTGTCTGTTTGTGGACATGGAGCCACATAACCAGCATTTTCGCGCTTTTATCGAACTAAATTTATGTAAGCGATAAAATCTGAACGACTACCGACTGAAGCGCCCCGTCATGTTGGTCAATAGCAGTAACAATAACAACAACATTTACAACAACTTGTGGATTTCATTGCCCCAGGCAACGTCTAATTGCGAGCAACTTGCGGTCCGCTCTGTAGAAGGCGGCTGGCCGATCGCAATCCCCGTCAAATTGCCATAATTTCTTTTGGTTTACGAGCTGTTGCCGGGTCCGTCGTTGAGGTGCTCTCTCCACTCGGTTCGATTGGTCGGACGGTCGGCTTATTAGGTGGCCACAGCTCTATTGCGACTGTCTGGACTGTTTATGCTTTCAATATTTTAGGCCATTATCGTTCAATTGGGCCGCAGGTGAGCTTAAGTGTTTTGGCATGCAAAAATGACGGCAAATATTTTATAGGATAAGTTGTGTGCAGTTTGTGTATTTATTGAATTAATGTGAGCGCTTCAACGCTACAAGCTATTAATTTGCGTGCTGTGCGGTACAAATTGAGACGATTGAAGAGAAAGCACTGAAGAGCCAAACAGTAGCAATGGTGTGTTTAAATGGTGGGATCCAAATAGCAAATTAGTAGACAATAAAATATAGTAGTTTAGCGTAATAATAAAAAGGGGAATATGCTGTGCCTTGTTACATCTAGATTCGAAGTGCACCCTGAAAGTATGCTGCTCTATTGTTAGTCGATAAATTATTTCTTTAAAAATGTACCAAAAACATGACAAATTTTGATATTAAGATAAAATCAAAGAATATATGCATTATCTTTAATTTGTAATACTGATTTAGTTGTAAGAGACCAGAGCTTATAGCATGCTTGCAGTTATGCCACCTTTGACATCTTCGGCCATCAATTGCGCTTAAAATAAAGAATGAGTGACGAACATTAATTAAAAAAGTTGCGCGTGTGGTCTGCAACAGCAAAAACATGTAAAACAACAACAACTAAATAAACAGATGACGTTGAAATGGCCAGAACTGAGAGACTAAAGCCAAACCATCAACAAATTACCGCTAAGTAAAATGAACACACAGACCGTAGCGCATCAGCTGCTGCCACACTTGGCTGGACGTTATGTCCAGACCAGCCTCAGCCCATGCAGCACGCCGAGATCGTAAATCAAGCGATGCGCTGCACTCAGTTGTCCAGCCTCCAGACGCATAACAACAACAATCTCTTATAACACCGCCACGCACTGCGGCGCGCAGACGCAGGCATCATCAAAATCGCAATCATCATTAAAATTTCAAAAGCGCATAAAAATTGCAAAGAAACAGAAATAATCATACATACATTTATGTATGTACATATTCGTACATATGTACATACATACTTGTCTACATCTGTATGTATTCGTATGTATGTATGTTTGTATAAATGATTTTGGACTGTTGTTGGCAGCGTTTTCCACTTCTTCGGGCATCAAAGCAAATGCTAAAATGAAGAAAACAACGACAACGATGGCAGCGGCAGGCCATAAAAAACGGCAGGAAATTCTTTTGGTTGTGCGCTGTGCCGTAAAAATTAAAAGAAAATCACAATTTTGCTTTTATTTGTTTAAAATAAATATTACTTTGTTCGCATTTTACGACGCGGTGGCAGCGCCGGGCGGTGAATTAAAAAGTTAGAATCTTGCGGTCGTATGGCCAAGGCGGCCGGTGCACTGTCTAGCTCCGTCTCTTTCTTTATGACATCTGGCTGTTGCTGTCGTTTTATAGCGATTTTAATACGCCACGTTGGACTAATTGTTGCTTTGTGCATTGAGATTTGATGGCACTTAGAAAGCCGTTAATCCTAATTTTATGTACTCCGTGGGTTGCACCAATTTTACGGCTCACTTCTTTGTGTGCTTCCGTCAACGATGAAAGGGCCAACCATCATAATGTTGATTCCTTGTAGATTCATAAATTTGTGTTAGACCGCAGGATTGGGGCTGAACTGAAGGAACATCAGTAATAAGGTGAATAAAATTATGAAACAGTATACGACAAATTAAGTAATCTCCAGCGGCTGAGCTCGTCAGAGAATATAATATAACATATGTATTATTCAAAAGCAGACCCAATAATCTCATATTATACTGACAGCATCTCTGATTATTACAGAAGTAACTGTTGTATAATTTTTAAGGAACATATCTAGAGAGCTACTTATCCAAAGCAAATTTATTGCAGGACTACCAGTGCTTTGTAACAAATGCGAAAAGGTTTGTTTGGTGGGATTAAATTTTGATATACGATTTTTTAAGTAAGAATAAATTGGTCCTCATTGGTATTTTATAAACTGATTAGCACTGGAGCTGCAAATAAAATCGACTTAATCGATATAAGACATTTTTGATAAGAATCGATTTGTTTTTGGAAAATCGACTAATTGCATAAAGTCAAATGCATGCTTGAAATAGCAAATCATTACCATCGAAAAATATAATTAAAATTTAACGTTTTTCATTAAACGGTAAACTGATTGAATTTGTATGAGAAAAGCAAAATTGTCGGGAAAGATCGATTGTTGAAGCTTTCTGTTTTCCATACAATGTTGAATTTGTGCACACTGCTTATCGATAAGAACATGCAGAACTTTTGATACTATTCAAAAATTAATCTTTATAGCTAAAATACGAATTGATTTTTTATTTTATCATCAAATATACTGAATCGACATACAGGGCTGAAGCGGGAGAATAGTCCATCTCTAATTTGTTGGTTCCGCGCTCGCAATATGGTTGAATGGGTGTCCGTTTGACTATTTTCCAGCACAATTCGGCAGTACACTGGAAATCAAGTAAACCCCGTACACAAAATGGACCAACAATATAATTTGCAATTTTTAAAGGTATGTATTTAAAAGTTATAGCTAATTTAAACATATTAATTGTACTGGAGTTGTATGCGTTTACGTGCATGTTCTCGCGCGCTGTCTTCAGCTTGATATCAAGGACTGTCTTGGCTGCAAAGACGTCAAGCTTCGATTTCCTCCGTCGCAAAGCGTTCATTTGATTCTGTACTCTTATGCTGATCCATTTCTCTCACCAACCAAAGAAGCAAAGCCGACCAACAGTGTTAGGACACCCATTTTGCAAGCTCTTCAGCTGCTGTGTACAAACGCCTACCCCGATGAGGCCAGTTTGAATTCCGTGCCGATGCTCCAGTTTGGCAGAGGAAGCGTAAGATTAACATTTAACGCCATGCGGGGTACTGACAAGGATGGACGCTCGGTTCCGGAGGGTGCCGTCTGCGATGTGGGGGAGGATGAGCTGGATATGGATCCATGTACCTCGCAGCAGGCACGGGAGCGCGAAGAGCGTCGACAAAGAAGAAAAACTATGCGCTGCCAGAAGATTTTTACGGTGACCGTGACACGCAGTTTTGAGAACGTGAATGAGCTTAACCAGGTCACATTTCAAATCGATAATGGTCTGATACAACAAGTAACTATTGCCGAGTTCCACAACTTGTTTTTCGTTGCGGAGTTGCACTCCAATGCTTTTCTACGAAATCTGCACCAGAGCTGTGCAGGAAACTGGTTGCGCCTTTTTCAGAGCAATGCGGGAGACTGCAGTAGCATCTTGTAAGTAAAACGATTTCCGTAAACAAACAGATAATAACCTTTCTATGTTACCAGCAGGGGCGATGACAATCCTTTTGAAACATTCAGTAAGCTTTTTGCTCGCACCGTTGTCCCTCCGACTGGCTTTTTGGGCAAACTGACGACCAAGTGCCTGATATCCAACAAGCTCTCTGATTTAGCCGAGCGGCGTTTTGTTATGAACCTTTTTAATGATGTACGCCGCATGTTCGAGTATGTCACCATTAATGAGTATACTGTGTGGTTCTACGTGCCACGACTCATGCGATTCGATTCAATGGAGAATGTGGTAAGTGCGTCATGACCGTGCCAGGCAATCATGCCAGACTTAATGTCCAATCTTCTACCCACAGACTTTGGAGGACTTCGACCTCAGTTCTGTGTGCACCACCATTAAATCGGTGCATAGTTCATGTTGCTTTTTTTGGAACAATGCTAACCACAGCATTAAAGATATTCTGTTAATAGCATTCCAATTGGGTCTCTCATGTTGTGCCAAACAGTCGGTGACTTTCCTCAGCAATTTGGATGGTGTAAGTGTGAAATTAATTGTCCTTAAGTGCTGCTTGTTACTTTGATGTCCCAATAGTTGAGCCAGTTTATAACCATGAATTATTTGACTGCCTTCTTTATGAATCATGAAAGAACGAATTCTTCGGTAAGGTCCTTTTGTGTTCGGATTTAGTTGCCTATTATATTTGCTTGTTTTTATCGTAGCAATGGGTCTGCCAGAAATATTTTCCACGTATCATCGATTTGTGCGTAGCTTTGCGTCTGACTGTTTTCATAGAATATCCAGGAGCCTTAACATTATTGCCTTCTAATCGGTTCGTTATTAAATGCAAGAAACAAAGGAAACACCATAATGGGGAAGTCAATTGGTCCATCTATGAAGACATCACCAAGGAGAGTAGCTTAGACAATTTCATGGAATCCATCTGTACATCGTAAATCTGCTAAAGTATAATTATTTTAAAAATTCTCTTGCATTTTAAATTGGATATTTAGTTCGTTTTTATAGTTTCAAGATTAATGCATTATTACTAATTTTAAATTTGACTAATTAAAGCAAATGTAAAACGACAAAATATTACTTTCCAGCAGAATTCTATAAATGCTAGCAATGAATTACATTGAACAAAATCATCGCTCAGGTAGATATAGTTTTGGGGCAACAAGCAGATCCTGCAACGGCATTTCAATTAGGGTGCTAGCTGTCAGTTTTGTTCAAACTGAAATTGCAGTTTTTGGCTTCGCAAGGCCTGCCAACGGCAACAACGAACAATGACTGCCACACACGCGTCATTTGTGAAACCGAAAATATTTTTACTCTTCTTTCTGTAAACGGGCAAGGAGGCGAGCGAGGCCAGCCCGCTGACACAGTTAAATAAGGATGGCCAGGATGGATGCAGCTCGACTGAAATGCATTTAACAGACGAGCAGACAGTGGAAGCGAGAAGTTGCGGCTTTTGCCGTTGCCGGCTGTCCGACTGATGGCTCTGACTGATTGGCGGTTGTTTGCACAAACTTTACCAGCATAGCCAACAACCACTTTAGAATGTTTGCGCAAAGCAATAACTACATACATACATACGTACATATTTCAACTCGCAACCCTCGAACCATGAATTTTCACACCTAAGCAAAATGGCCCTTGGCAGTGTGTGCTGTGCATAGCTTTTTGAATCACTCATACGCCATGTGGTCGTTATGTGGAGCAATAGTGTGCGAAATAGTGCAAGCGCGCTTTGCCTTTTTCTATTTTATTTTAAAATAAAGTAATTAGTTTTGATTGCTCGTGGCAGTTTCAGCTTTATTTGCCACACTCTTTTCATCTATTGGATTATTTGCCGAAGGGCTACGAAAAACTTTTCGCAGCCATCACATTTTTCCACAATTACCCGTACGTATTAAACAATCATAAACGACAAACACGTTGCACTGTAATGAAGTGTAATGTGCTGTGGTGTAGACGTGTATGTATGTCACTCTTTGACAGCTCATGCAATGCGTGCGAGTTTAGGCACCTCCTCAGGAGTACGGGGCGGCAGCGGTTGTTACTGATGCTCAGAATGTGGGGAGTACTTCGTTATACACGCAATCAGCAAATGTAACCAGACTTAATACGAGTATATATGCTCACGCACTGCTTGAGTCCTTCTTCCGCCTTTAGTAACCCATCCAGCTGCTGACAATTTTCAAAATTGCAAAAAAGCCAGTGTACTCGTATGTATATCATTGCATGCATTTCACACTTAGCTGCGAATCTCTTAAATATTGTCTGTTTTTCTGCTTCAGCAATTGGAAAGTGAACATCAAGTGCTAAGCGAGATTAAGGTGCCTGGCCTATCTGTCTGTCTGTGCCACTTTCATTTCAAAAATAAAAAGTATGAATTTATTCAAAATATATCCCCATTGAATTGATACGACTAACATTTCATTTAAGAATGGGATTTTTAATTAAATTTATAGATTTTCATTTAGCTTTGTTTTTGTGATGATTCGTTTGGTTTTGGATTTTTTTATAAGCGGACAGGGAGCTAAATAGTACCATACACTCCTCCACAATTGAACTTGAAACGCACAACAATCCCAGGGCTAGACGATTGTTGCAAAGGAATGGACAAAACACAGAAGTGCTCATTAAAATATTCGTTGACAGTCAACTAGCTATAAAATTCATGCAGAATCCATCCGAGCAAAAAGACCGAAGATATGCTAAGCGCCGATAAAATAGTGCTTATTCAATGCATTTCCATCCACCGGGGCATTGAGGGAAAAGGAAAGGAACAGAGCCAGCCCAGACAGTCATGAACTTCATCCCTAAATCATGGAGACCGCTACATGGTAGGTGAGAATAAAGCGCGGGTGAAAGCTGGTGAGCAGGTTTATCTATTAAATTAAACAGTATACGAATCTTGTAAAATGATCTGAAACCGAAACTCTTTGCCATGCGCAATATGGATCAGTGCTTTTCGTACCTTTACCTAACCTAATTCTAAAACTCCCGCTCTTCATTCCTTTATCAAACATAATTCTAAAATTCCCGCTTTTCATACCTTTACCAAACCTAATTCTAAAATTCCTGCCCACTCATTGGTTAGTCGTCCAATGACAAAAGCAGGAGCTAACTTTCAGGCATGCCGCTCTTCAAACAAATATTAAAACTTTCACACTTGAAAGCAGCATACGTGTATGGTATTGTCTGTTGCACATTTGGTAAATTTAACACCCAACTCTGCGAACACACACAAGCTCATACTCGTAGTCATGGCGATGGTTGAACTAAACTTATGAATGTTGCACATACAGCAAATTGCGTCGCTCTGTTGAAGCCGCGTTTGCATTCGTGCCGGTCTTGTTTGGAGGCACATGCTGCAACGAGTGACTGAAGGGGGCACAGGGGCCACCATCATAATTAATTCAAATTTAAATTTTCTTTGGCGCGCAACACGCGCCATTTTACACAGCACCCAGACAGACAGACAGACAGACAGACGGGCAGCGGGCGGTCTGTTGGAGATGTACGTTTTGCTGTGGTTTTCATGCCGGATGGGGAAGAAAGAGCGTTGGGTACCAGGTGCTGGCAGCGGCGGCACAGATGCAATTCCCGATAATCATATGCGGCTTTTAGTGTCAGCGTCAAAATCTCTCCCCGCACACACATGAAGGTAACTAACTGCCAGCATAATAAAATGTTTAAATATTTAGTCGGAACGATTTTTAATGCTCATTTGCGCTTTTAGCTGCTGCAAGTAAATAGCGGACCGGCAATGCCAGAGTATGCCAGCCAGTTGCTAGCAACATTGTTATCCAAAAAGGCATCTACCGCCATGTGGTGTGACTCACATCCCCTTCAGCTCGCATCCCCGTCCTCGCAACGGTTCCGCTTCTCTGTAATTACGAATTGTGGCACGGTTCGGCGCATCCCGCAGCTGCTCCCTTCCTATAAGTATATACGTTTTTATTTTATCCTGCCATCCGCTTATTAATTTTTAATTATGCTAAAGATTGCTTGACCTTTTTTCGACCATTTTGTCTTAGCCCTCAAATCTGGTACGCTCTTCCTAAATTCATTTCTGAGTGATTCCCAAACGAATGAATACCCAAAGCTTGAGGGTAATCAAGATGGACTTAGTATGTTGGAAAGAGGGCGAATTAAATTTGTTTGTGAATATTTGTTAGCTTCGAGATGGATTTGCATGAGATGTCTAGCACGTTTTCGATTTGTCTCAATCATCCGATTGCCAAATCACAAAGGTTTTTTAATTTAAAAAAAAATAATAAGTAGCCAAATAAAATAAATAAGTATTACTGGTAAATGATATTTGGAATCTTCCCTTGTATTTATGTATCAGCTCCAGTTATAAATTTTTTCCAAAGCAAAAGAAAATAAATAAACAAATAAATATGAATAAATTTCAGCCTCGGGTAGTTTAGAAATTTACAGAATACATATACGAGTACTATATATAAATGGTGATTTGATTCTTGTTTCTTGCACAGTCTGAGAAAGGTGTTGGAGAATCTCCCTCTCCGATTTGATGTGTTGCAATTTAATCTAATTTGTTATAAAAATGAATGCCTTAAAATAACACAATACAGTTTTATTTATTTTTGCCTTTTGTATTTTCGATAGAAATATTCAGAAATATTCACATTTCGTGCTGTTTAGCCTGCAACCCCGTTGCCAAACTTGATCTATGAGTTGGACTTGTAATGGAAGCGACACTGTTTGAATAATACACTCATCACATTGAACAAAAACGCGTATAATATCACTCATACGGCCCATGGTATATGCTGACTCGTTTTTGGGTCTTGAAGAACAAATTGAAATTACGATATTTACATGCATTTTATACAATTGTTTGCATTCATGCCAACAAAAGCACGAAATGCCAAAAAAGAAAATTTCCCTCACGAGTGTATAATTCAATGAAAAGAACAGCAGCTCGAGCAAGTATCTGCATCTGCAAGCTACACATGTATAGTATGTAGAGATAAAGCCATACGAGTGTGCAAATATTTTAACTAAAACGCAAGCAAGTTACTTTTATCTGCTGCAAATAAGAACGAGTATTTGCGAGGGAACGCGCTCCCTTGGCCCATTCGCCATATCCTCTCATCTCTCAGTCGCTCTTCCAGCCCCAATCCATGGCATTTGCCAGCTTCGCGAGTGGGCGTAGCTGTTGGCAAGCGTCGCTATTGCGCTGCTCTTCTAGGCAACATAATTTTGCTAGTACACACTTTTATGGGTAAAGTAATACCCGGTATGGCCCACGAATCGGTCCAAGCCACCCATTTCGAAAGCCACTGCAGTGCCGAGTCGCACTTCTCGACTCTTATTCCGAGCTCTACTACATACATATGTGTGCAGGTTTAAATTCGAACATTTCCTTTCATCTCACGCGTCTCGTGTGTACAATGCCAGAATGTATTTTGTGTGCTACGAGTCAGCCTCCCCCAATAACTACACCGCGCCCCAATCTCCGATTCCTGTCGAGACAAACCGCTCGCCTTTGAGTTTATTGGCTTCGCAGCATACTTTGAAATTTACTGAGCTCCGCATGTAATGCTGCGCTATATTGAAATTAATTACAAACAAAGGATGCTGTGTGGCATCATGGCTGCCATTGCCACATTGCCTCCACCCCCCCACCCCGCTCAGCCAACAAGGCTTCGGTCGCTACAACAACACGTTGTCGGTCTTAAAGTTTAGAATTTGTATTTGCCTCTAGCTGCCATATGCGAGCATGTATGTATGTACTTATGTACTACTATATACATATGTACTTGTATGTTTGCGGCCTCAACAGCGCTTAGCGGTGTTCAAATTAATGCTCATGTTCTGATGTTGCCGCCTGCAGCGTTTTCGGGCCCCGAGTCTTAATGACTACGGAAATAGTTTTCCCTTATGTTTTTATTGCTTGCCACATTACAAGCGCCACAAAAAACCAACAGAAAACAAGTGGAATTCGATTTATATTTAATTTTACGCCTAACTAATTCAGCTCTTTATTTTAATATGCATTTCAAATTAATCGCCTTATGACAACTAAAA